CAAATAGTATACTTAGCCGACGGCGCAGGGCAAAAAGGACACGCCTACAGAATAAAGGGAGCTTAACTATATAGGAAGGTCATAATTCAATTAATCAGATAGATGTAAGTACGCAGGTATTGGCCGAATCATCGAGAAGTGGTGGTCGAGGAAGGTCGGTTAGGCCGGGTGTTCGGCGATGTGGTGTATGCGGCAAGCCCGGGCATAATGCAAGGACCTGTCAGGTAGTTCCGGAGGCATCTGGAGATGAGTATAGTAATTGATTTTAATTGATCAGATAGTCTGTTGTATTTTTATTATAATTTGTCTTAAGAAGGTTGAGATTTTTGTCCCGCTCGCTTATCTGTCCCGCTCGCTTATCGCGTACGTTAGTAATAAGTAGTGTTTAAAACAGATCTCTGTAGCTTAAGACCTTCTAGGGAAAAGATCCATATTAGTAAATTCTTTATAAATATACTGCTTAATTTTTAGTTCACTGTAACTATTAGCCTTATTAAATTTAAATTGTCTTTCATAAACTGATGCTGTTGAGTATGCTAACTTTCAATTTTAAGGTGGCATATATCTCCCAGTAATAGACCTGCGTTCTTAGAAAGCCCTATGTGGTAAAGGTGATTGTATTGGAGGTAAGCAATCGTATAATTGAGAATAAGTGGCCTTGATCTCTGTACTGGCTGGAATAAAGCAGAGGAATAAAACCCGCCTTTACTCTCTCTTGGGCCACTTGTCCCTGGCTTTTGCCCCCTTCTAGTTCGACGTTTTGTTAGCGGATGTGACCTTGTCTGTGAACCCTGGATCAGACAATGGCATCATCACTGCCATATCAATATCCTTTTTTCATACAGTATAGTCTGGAAAAGTTATATTCTAGTTTAATTCACAGCTGATCACTCAAAATCATTCGGGGAGAACACGGATAATTGTTTCTGGTGAATCAAACGAGACATCCCATGTAATAACAACTAAATTCCGAGCTAATGGCTCTTCCGTGAAGAAATACCTGATGTCCGGACCCCTGGGCGCCGTGTCGAACAGACCCCCGAAAATTTGTGGGACGGACATTCGGCCTCGAGATTTGCAACGTTGCGGCCAGATATGATGGTGTACAGGGGCCAATTTGAATATTTTTGAGCCAGCCGTAAGCTCTCATCCACTCCTCTCTATCCGTGCGCCGACGCCGGGAAAACGGACTACTCGATTTCTCCGCGCCTATAAAGGGTCCGAGGGTCCAAGCCGAGAAGGTTCCGCAACTTTTACCAGGCTGATTGGTCCAATTCGAAATCAAAGGAGATCATTACAGAGTGAATATAGGAGCAAACAACCATTTTCCCTCCCCTGCTAGCTTCGCAGGCTCATATCCCCAGCACCCAAATGCCGTGATGAGGCCTCGGAGGTCAACAGCGGACTCAAATTCCAGGTAAGAACAGCCCTAAAGTGGTTTCATAAAAGTCTTGCGTCCAAAAGAAATAGGCACCCACTGCACTGTATTCCATATTTCTATCCATAGCCTAGACTTCTCCCCGAAAGACCGTAGATCAGAACACCGCCGCTTAAACGGTCCTCAAACGTCGGGCCTTGATATCTCCGCGTGTTCCTATCAACAATGTATCCTGCTGTGCCGCCACGTCGCAGCCAACTTGAGCTAGCGGTTAGTATCAGAATCCTCGACTCGCTCAACCTGGTCTGTCAGATTGACGCGCTGACACATTTCCAAACAGTGTATTACTTGCAAGACCCGAAAGGTACCACTGTTCCTTGTGGTCCATCCTCTTGATCTACTGGCCACTAAGTCAGAGCGTCATAATTGGACTGGACGACCTGCTAATAGCCGAAGCAGATTCGATGTGACCGTGTCAAGCCTACATGCGATGGCTGTCAAGTTAGAGGCCTTCCATGCACCTATCCGGAGCGAAGGAATAGGAAGAAGGCTAATCCCCGAAAGGGCCAACCAAAAGAACCGTATGTCTACATTTTATTCTATTCCACTACCACTAACATGTCTCAGTCATCTCAGTGATGATGTCTTCTCTGGTCTTCTGGAGAGGCTACTACGGGTCGAGGAGAAATGCACGCACCTTGTTACGGATCCGTCGACGGCATATACCCCGCTCAGCATTAATAGCCCGGGTAGCATTCAAGGCTCTTCTTCCCAAATACCCGGGCAAACACCTGAAGCACATTCCGTGGTCTCGTCGGTTGCATCCGGAACTTTCTTCGATAATGATGCAGAAAAGACACAAGGCAATGATTTACCCAGTTACCCAGGCACGCCCTTAATCGCCGACGTGCGCCTACAGCAAGCCTTTGAGCAGGTCTTATATCTGAAGCGGCAGAACTTGTTCAAGCAGACCGTACGTAACGACCATCACATAAGACCAGAGATTGCTAAAGCTTGTATTAAGAGTAAGTATTAAACAAACTCAGCATAGTATATAAGTTTTTTTAACATTAAACTGATGGGCAGACTTTTGTACACATTTCCAGATCGATACATTCCCGAGCTTCATCAACATCAAGCTGATGCATTTCATCCCTGACATCATCGATATGCCTGAGGTTGCACTTGATCCAGCGGTGCTGGTACTCTACTATAGTATTATCTACCATGGCTCTCTGGTAATTACGGATGATTTGGGAGCTTAATATGTTAATTTGACACAACTCATCTATGGCTACTGTCTTCGTGTGCTACCAGCTTGGATGGAGCGCAGTGTGGGGACCAAGACGGACCTTGTCTCTGCCATCCTTCTCGTACGTCTTCCTTGCATCTAAGCTTAAATATACCGTACACTGACCATCTGGGGTAGATGAAAGCTTCTTTTCAGCAATGCGACTTTGAATTCAGCTGGAATATGTACAGAATCGTATGTCAGTGCGTAAAGAAGCTGAACCTCCACAACCTTGATCAGGACTTTCCCAGCACCTCTATTCGGCAGTCACTAGATCAGGGAACAGACTATGACAGGCAAGGTCTCTGGGCGTTGGTGCTCGTGGATCTGTTCTTCCGTATGCTGCATGACAAGCCTCCCATCATGACGGCCAACTTGACCGAGTGGCATGTCAATCTTCCGGCAATCAACATCGTCCCTGAACAACCAGAATACATGATTTCAATATCGACTTTCTTTGTCAAGTCGCGGCTGACTTTCCTTCTCCTTCGCTTCTTTGACTTGCTTGCTCAGAGCTCGGACGACAGGGACTACATCCAACAGATCGAAGGGCTCTGTGCTAAGATAGAAGACTTGATCGGAGAATGGTCTATAGTAAGTCTTCCCACACAGTTCTATTTTTTATTCCACTGTGGTATCTGATTCCGACTGACGGGTTCCATATTACTAATAGAGAGATTTAATAGATGCCAACGAAGAAAACGCTTCAAACTGGTGGACGCTCTACGACCTCGCGCTCACGGCAAGCTGCTCCATGATGGTCATGAGTCGTAAGATGGAGGCTCTCCATTCTGAAGCATCCGGCATACCTTTACCCTGTCATGACAAACCTGTTTCTGATTTATCAGTCAACATCGCTCGTAACGTTCTAAAACTCGCTCTCCTGGGCTTAGAAAAGTATATAAGCCCCCTTGCCGCGGCATATTTATTTGGCGCATTCCGCTGTCATGTGCCGTATGGCTGCTTGGTTAGTCACCTATTTCTTAGCGACCCTGAAGAACAGGGCTCTACCTCGTTGAACGACATGGCGTTACTAGAGAAAGTTGCCCAGAGAATGGGTGCCATAGCAGAAACAGATGGGGATCTTTTACCATTGGCCCGTACACTGCATAAGCTAAACATTAGTATCCATGCGAGATGGAAAGAGAAGATGGAGCAGTAATGTATTTCCTGAAGAGAATAGGTAGGTAGACTATGCGTAATTCAAAGCATCACAGGTCAAGTTGTGGATGAGAAGGCCTTCTTTCTAAATATACTGAACTACTCATTCGCCTTCATTATGATCCTGCATGCGACCCGATGGACTGACCCTGGATCGTTCCAACAAAATATAACGAGATACCTCACGAGATTATGGCAATATCTTGTTAATCACTTTAACACTCAATATCCTGAAAGTCAAATAACAGGCAGTCACCTTTCTCAGATTCAATTTTAACGGTATTCACTAGTGTGTAGATAACCATACAGAGAACTCGTTATCCGCGAGGTAACATCCATTATTATTTCTTCGTGGCTAACCCATCACCAGCGACCTCCGCCCCAGCTAAGATGGTATGTCAAACTTTCCTCCCCTCACCTAATGCCAATCATCATATCGATTTACAATGAAAGAAAATAAACACTAGCTCCTGTCCGACTCCCTTTCTGTCATTGCCTAGAGGCCATTGAGTTGAACAAATGCATCATAGAAGGTGCAGACGGTATCTACCGAGTTCCTATCAATCGTCCTACCTCGAACAGCATGAGTCGTATCGAAGACCCGGAGGTCTTTATCTTGCGATCCAACCATTGGCCAACCGGGCCCATCTTCTGGATGCTTAGCAAAATCCGCCCAAGCACTCTGCATAGAATCGCTGAGCTTGACTTGCGAAGCTGTGGTTTCGTTATCCACTCGGTAAGTACCGAAAACGAGTGGTATTTCCGAAGTATGCCATGCCCCAACCTCTCTGAATGGCTCATTGTTTGGAAAGCTCGCGTTATAAAAATATCGCCATACGCTCTGATGCCCATGAGCAATCAATTCGGCGATGGCGGAGGTGGTACAGGTATAGGAATAATCGGTAAGAATACGTGATTCGAGCTCTGCCATTGTTGCATTTGAGGAGTAATATGATCGCGCGAGCTCTTTAGAGCCAGTGTCATTGCCAAAAATGCCGCTAAGCATCTGTTCCGGGGGCGGCATTACGGACGTTAACACTGTGCCTTCGTCCGCGTTCGTCCCAATGAGAACAGGCACTCCAGCGATTGACCCTTGGTAGAAAGCATCATTGAAGAAAGGACCGTTAGTGATGTTGTCAACGACCGGAGTAAAGCCAAGCCCCTTATGGTCTAGGACGTCTCTGATGGCTTCAGCTGGCGCATTGGCGACGCAGGCGTGTTGATGTGCTGCTGTAGTGGTGTTGCATTTTAGCTCCTTTACCAAAGTCGCCCATGATGCCTCTTCGTCGCCAGAAGGCCCAAATGCCTGGCTCCGAGTAATGGCAGCTCGGAACGGCAAGGGCTGAGGAGGGTTGATTAGCAACTGCTTCACGGAATACCCACCTAAGGATTCGCCAAATATGGTCACTTTGGATGGATCTCCACCAAAAGCTCCGATGTTCCGGTTGACCCATTCCAATGCTTTGCGTTGGTCCATAAATCCGAGATTGCGTTGATCGGGAGGGATTTCGGGTGAGGCAGGAAAGCCGAACACTACCCCAAGTCAGATTCAAGTCTGCGTGACGGGATCTTCTTAGAAGAGTCACCCACCATTTGTTCGGTAGTTCATCGTAACGACGACGACGCCGTGATTGGAGGCCAAGAATGAGCCATCATATTCAGAGAGGCGAGCAGACCCTAACTGGAAGCTCCCTCCATGTATCCAGACCATCACTGGTCTGCCTCGTTTAGTTATAGTTGAGGGGGTAAAAATGTTGAGGTGAAGGCAGTCCTCGCTCTCAGGAGGTTGGTCGCTATTAAAAATCTTTCTAAACTCATCGTCTAATTAACATGTCAGCATGGCAGACATTTGAGAATTTCAAGACAGGTCTGCCCATACTCGCAAAGTGCTGGATACATGAAGGACGGTAATTGGTAGCATTCCATATGGAGTTCCATGGCTCATGATCCTCAGGCGGCGAAAACCGTTTTGACGGAGACTTTGCAAAAGGAATACTGAGGTATTGATTTACCACATGGGTCGGAGCTGACGGCACTCGGGTCGTCGTTCCTACAATAAAGCCGTTGCTTATGCTAGCCATTGGCGGTGAGAAAGCAGTTCTGTTCAGGGTATGGTCATATGATGCAGGGAAAATCCAAATGACCAAGGCCAGAGTAATGGTGGTAGGAATGGGCATGATTGCGAACTGAGATTTGACTTCTATGTTGAGTAAGGTTGGGTAAAGGAAGTAAAACTAAAATCGTTGAACTAAGTACTCGTCAATGACTTCCACATTCTCTTTGCGTTACGTATACAAATTAGCTCATGTAAGTCAGTCTCGTATTCCATAATAGACAACAGCTTCCACACAGATAATCTCTCCCTGGATGGTCCACAACACTACTGGTGTCGCAAACCAGTTGGGCCGAGCCCCGGTTATCATATGTGAGGAAGGAAACATGCGTTAGTACATAGAAAAGGAGGAAGAATAATGATAGTAGTTATAATTACACGGGAACTCAAGGAAGTTCAGGCGACGCCGGTTATTTCAGAGACATTCACAAAGTCACTTCTTACGCTTTATTAACTTCTATGACGATCATGGTGACGAAAAATAGTAGGAAAATCGGGCATAAGGTTATTTCTGCCCTCCTTTCACATGCGTCGATATCTGATATTTGCAAATGGGCGTCGCAGTCCCGAAGACAAGGGGAATGTAGGATATTTCGAAGAATGACTCATGGCTCATCAGTTCGTACTTCAAAATTACGTGACTCATAAATACTCCTTGTCGTACACCATACATTCCCTGCTAGTGAGACCGGCTCCAAAACACATAAATCAAAGCTTCAAGTCATACACCATTACAAACCTGACCAAACTTTATGGTCCACTATGCCCTGTTGATAACCCGACGCGGACAGAGATTACTTCTGCGACAAATTCCGAAAGCATGAGTGATAGGACACGATCCGGAAATTGTCCTTATCCACAAAAAATAAAATGGATGGAAATATCGGTGTGCGTACCTGTATAAATAGAGTAAGTGTCCAGTCTCTTGAATTAAATCTCTATGCCCTCCAGCCTCACACTCATCTTTACAAAAATCCTCACTATCACACGCATCTTTCATCATGCTTATACTTATTGCAGGCATCTCAGGAAACATGGGCCAGAAACTGGTTCACTCTCTTACTTCTCGAGGACACCATGTTCGGGGTCTCGTGCGAGATGCTTCCAAAATGGCCTCTAATATCTACGCCTTATTGGACGACTTCGTCACTTGTCCCGTCTACTATGACATTGCCGCATTGGATCGCGCCTGCACTGGCGTAGACGACATTATTTGCGCGTACGGTATGGATCCGCGCCTTCAACTGGAAGGGCAGTTGTTGCTCCTGCGCGCAGCCGAGCGGGCCAATGTTGGCATCTATGTTACCGCATGTTGGAACCACGATTGGAGCAAGTTGGGTCTTGGCAAACATGAGGCTTACGATGCGCTCATCAGTTTCCGCCATCATGTCGAAATGACATCTACCATCAAGCCAATATATGTATACAATAGCATATTCGCCGAAACATTATTTTCTACGATCGGACATGGCCATGTCGGTCCAGACATGCCCCTGGTCTGGGACCCAAACACCAAGACTATGAACATCTGGGGAACCGGCCACTCGATATGGTATTGGACAACAGAACAGGACTCTGCGGAGTTCGCAGCTGAAATCATCCAACGGAGCGATGCCGCCCAGGGCGGGTATTGGAATGTCTGCTCTGGGGCGAACTCTCTTCTTGAGGTAGCCAAGGTGTATGAGCAGGAGCGTGGTATTCAAGTCATGCTGCATAAGCTCGGTACCATTGATGACCTCAGGGAGAAAGCATTGAAGGCCAGGAAGGAGGGAAGCAAAATGGACTATCATTTGTATATTGGTTGGTTCTATCAACTATATGCCATTGATGGTACCTGGGTCTTCCCCAAGTTGGACAATGACAGGCTTAATGTTAGGACCACATCGTTGGTTGAGTTCCTTAAAATGCAACCGGAAACTTAAGCAATAATTACTATAGTTAGGGTCCAATAGCTAAAAAGGCAAGGTAGTTACTACTCATACTTATATATCCTGTTATTACAATAAGATCAGCTATATAAGCTAGATATATATATTTCAGGCTTCTACATATAAGTGAATTTGTTTTACTAGGATAAAGAGCTAAATTAAATAAATCCTTAACTTATTATTTAAAGGAATGACTAGAATCTTTCTCTTATGTATGTATATCCTGTGAGCTAATCTTCTAGACAGTATAGAGTATTATTAATACTCTAGAGTTTAACATAACTATAAAGTTATTAATACTAATTATAGTAAGTAACTCTTCCCCTTAGTGTTATAACTTAATAAGTTATTATGCATATAAGGTAAATACCCTTACTGTTATGACCTGAGCGGTTGCGTTATATATGCCCCACTGTTTCACTTTTATCTTCCCCACTTTCCACGAAGTAGAACTAACTATCATAGGACTGACACTTATATAATAGACTGACGGCACTCTAAGATTGTATCGCTCCAGGATTAATGATGACCTAACTTATCATCGCTCTCTTTATATCCTATTAAGTATATATATATTCCTTTAGCATTAGTTAGAGCCTAGCTCACCAGCTATTGATAAAATATCTTTACCTAAATATGCCTTACCTGCTCTATTTACTATTGAGAGACGTAATACTTCGCAACACTCAGTATCACAACGCCCTACGTATCTGCCAACATAAACCTAGTACGGACTAGTTTATCCCTTAGGACTCACAACCGTCACACTCTTGTTGAACCGGCGATATAAGACCTAAAAAGGCTACTGTAATATAGCGAATAGCGCGCTATAACTTTTGGCTCAGTGGCCTACGGTTTAACTGACACCTCTCGTACGAGACCCCGATGAGATCTCCATGGTAAAACAAAAATGAGTTGGCTGTGCTGTTATTAGTTGTACAACACATAACGTACATCACAAGCGAGTGTCCCACACAAGCGAGTGTCCCACCAATCTACACCTAAAGACTCGAAAGAGAAATAAAAACACTACAACCTATCTGATCAATTAAAATTAATTGCTATACTATTCCCTATTGACCTCAATTGACTCTTGACAGGTCCTTGCAGTATGCCCGGTCTTTCCGCAAATACTACATTGCCGAGGCTTTGATCCTTGTGACCTTCCTTGACCACCTCTTGAGGATTCAGCTGTCACCTGCGCATCAATATCTATCTGATCAAGTGCTTGTGATGCTTCCGTTATAGTTAAAGCCCCTTCTTTCTGTATTATAGTCCTT